AGCGGGAGGCGCCTGCGGCGAGCCGCCATGCCCCCCCGTCGCCCGGGCCTACGCGGCGCTCCGGCCGCCATGCGGCCGACATCCCCGCCTCGTCGCCGCCTCGTCGCCGCGCGGCGCCGGGGCCCACTCCTGGAGGCCGCCATTGGAAAAAGCGCCGTCTTGGGACTGCGCGGCAGTGGTTGGCTCCGATTTGGCGTCAAGGGGCGTCGAGTTTTGCGTCGGCCAGCGTGGGGTCGCGTCGGCCCGTGAGAGCCGGCAAGATGTTATGGGAGGCTTCCTGTGAGTTGCCGCAGAAGAGAGCGTGTCCTGAGGGAAACGGGTCCCGAGGTTTTTCGCTGCGCTCGCGCTCTCCAGGCCCTCCACGGGCCTGGGGGGCCGCCGGCAGGGAACGACTCAGAAGGAAGAGCTGGTGCTGGGGGAGGCACCCGAAGTCCAGGACCAGTTTCCCTCAGGACCCGTTTCCCTCGTTCAGCCACGCGCAGGGGAGAGTAATTAGGGGGAGGGGGGAAGGCTTCTAAGAAGCACCCCTGACTTTTAGACGGCGCGGGCCTTTCCTATAGATGTTAGGCCGCCGCCTTCTAAGAGGCCGCTTTCCTCTAAGAAGCCTTCCCCCCTCCCCCTGCCCCCCTGTGTGCGCCGCCAATATGTGGCGGTACGGAGCTCGCGTCAAATCTCAGGCTGGGCCTCGCCGTTTTCCTGACAGCTCCGTCAGGCCAGCCCGGGTCCCACCGACCCACGTCCTACGACGTCTCCCCGGTTCTCTGGGGAGACCGCTGACTCACTCGTTGAACCCTAGGCCTCCCAGATGGGGTACGAGTAGATGGGGTTTGAGGATCGCGTCGCAGCGCCGCGGCATCGGCGCCGCGGCTCGATGCGGAGTCCGATCTTCTCCATGTCGACGTCGCCACTGCATCGACAACGTCGGCGATGCCCGCCCCCCCCCCCCCCTCGGGGCCCCCTACCCAGACGTGATCGCTGTGCAGGAAAATCCAGACGGGAGGTTTTGCGCTGTCTTTGGCCTCTGGTAGCCCTCGCTGAGCTCCAGGACCGTCAACCAAATTCTCGGTATGAAAAGCTGGTCACGGGGACAGGGCTAGGATTTCTGGAGGCCCCGCAGCGAAAAAATCAGGACATCGCAGCCGCCCCCCGTTCGGTATGATCGACATGGGCACGGAAAGAGTGGGGGCGAAAACCAACCGCAGGTCCTGCCACTTTTATGTTGGCAGGAGTCGCTGACTCTGTCGCCGTGGGCGTGGCCCATTTGAGACACACAAGCTCGCCTGCCCAACGGCAGCCGCTATCGCTCTTGGACAACATGTACTGTTGCTCATCGTACCCCTTGGCTCCTCCATGACTTGCGCATCGCATGGTGGAGTACCCTCTCCCTCAGCGAGGAAGCTGGCAGCTTTCATCATTACTGCACTGGTGCGTGGGGAGCAGGAATTTGCTCTTGGGCATCCTACCCATGCCTTGCGTTCCCATTGCGGGCGTGCCGACCCTGCTTCGGGGGGCCTTCAGAATCGGGGCACTCCTGGACGGACCAGATCGACGGCGTGCCCGTCAAAATTGCAGCGGCGGGTCGAACATACAGTCTCCGTCCTTCGCTCTCTCTTATCTTCAGGTGAGCGACGGAAAAACCGGGGCCGTCTTCACCGACATCGGCGCACAAACCGCCCGCGCACGGTGGCGCGTAAGCGTCCTCGTCTCCAGCGCAGCGTACCGCGCCGGCGTCCCCGGTGAGTGAGCTGCCGCACAAGGTCGCCACGCCATCTCGCGCAAGGTCGCTTTCTTTCTGGCTCGCTCGGGTGGAGTTGTCGGAGTCTTGGTCGGCAGTGTCCTAGTTTTTTGGGGGGCCCTGACTCGAGCGTGTTTCTTTTTTGCTTGGGGCATGACGGTCATTCTATTATAGCTTCCGGTCCCCCCCTCCCCCCCCCTAGAATGTAACGCCCCTCCCCCCCCAGTGCGCTCCGGGCACTGCCGACGTGCGCACGGCGGGGGGAGGCGTTACATTATACCCCCCCCTGGCCCCCCCCCCCCTACAGTCGGCCCGGATTAGTAGGTCGACCCTGCCAGATCCAAGGTACTCTTGTGTCCTATGTGTTCGCGACACATGCCTTCTACAATCTCGTGGCAATGTGGCCTTCGGCAGGGTCTTGTGTCCTCTCGCGTGTCCTCTCCAATCAAGCCCGACTGTATAATGCCCACTAGCGCCGAGAAAAACGAAACGCGCTCCTCCTGTTTCGGGGGTGGACAGACCTCCTACCCTGACACATCGATTCAGGAATTGGCCGTTGTCGGTTCGCGAGAGGGCGTCGCGGCCGTCATTTCTGCGGGTCCAGGTCCGTCGGTTTCGGTCCCAGGCCGTTTTCACTAATTAAGGGGAGGTTGACTAAGGGGAGGTTTGTCCACCGCCGACTCTCCAGACTTGGTGCCAGACCCGATGCAGGGACGACCCGATGTTGGCACGCGAGAATTCGCAGCCAGTGGTCTTGTGACAAACCTTCGGTTTTGCTACAAGGGGAGGTTTGTCCACCGCCGACTATTGCCGAGGAGGCCAGACCCGGAGCAGCATCGTCGGCGCCGCCGGGGGGCGCGTTTCGGGCGGGCCCTCGGGCCTCCCCGGCCTTCCTGGCCGGCCGGGGCGCGCTCGGGCCGTGCTGCTGCTCGCTCTTGGGCTGTCTGGGGGGCCTCTTGGTCGGCTTGGGTGCGGGGTTGTCTTAGAGTTCGATCGGGCCGAACGAAAGGGGGGGATTGGGAAAGGGGGGGTTACAAAATTTGCTGCATTGCAGCTGGTTTCGGCCCCACCGAGGGGCCCATTCCTCGATACATGGCCGCCTCCCTCGCCGGGAGGCGCCAGGAAAATCAGCTACGTGAGCTGATTCTCAAACCCCCCCTTTGCTATCCCCCCCTTTCGCCCGACCCGACTCTTGGTCGGCTTGGGGGCCTCTGCGGTGTTGTCTTAGAGAGTTAAGTCGGGCCTGTCCCCCTACAGGGGGGAATATTCAAAACTAATATGACAGAAGGCGTGGGACGATTTTTGGAGTATGTTTTGACTGTTTGGAGGTACTGTTTGAGTATTCTTCATTTTTCGCCCACAATCCGCCTGTAGGGGGACATGCCCGACCTAATCTTAGAGCCACGCTGGGCCCCCCAGGGGGACCCACCAGGGGAGCCCTCTTGGGGCCGTCCTGCACCACTTCAAGGCCTTCTGAGGGCCTTCTTAGATGTCCTCTTAGGTTATCCGAGGCCCTCTCGGAACCATCCTGAAACTCGAAGCTTAGAACCTAAAACGTACGTGAAGCTTGTTTCAATGATATTGGCCACTTGGGAGTACTAGTTGGCACGGGCTCCTCGAACGAGTTGTGGGAATACTCCGGTAGATTGCGGTGTGAGGACCTGTTGGAGGTGTCTGTCGGGGAGTTGTGAGAGCGCTCCACGGCATGCCATAGGCATGGTGGCGGACTCCGCGGAGCACACGTGGTCTTCGTGCGATTCTGCGTGGGCGCAGTATTTTCTGAGCTGCGCGCAGTTGGAGGAGGTCCTCGGCGTCGACTGCTCGGGGTGCAGTTGCCCAGGGGACGTCAGCGCCTCTGGCACCTGCGACGCCTCCGACGGGACGTCGTTCAGCTCGAATTACCCGTGCAAGTGCGGTTTCACAAATTGCATGACGAACCAGGTCTGCACTTCTGCGACCAGCGCCTGCGTCGAGCCAGACAAATTGTGGATCTCAGTGCCTTGCTGGACGCCCTCCACTTCCGAATTCGACAGATCAGGCGTCAGCGCGAGCGGCGCGCCCGTGTACACCAATGGCGCGCAATACTTGTACTACGACCTTGCCTGCGACGGGAACGACGCCACAGGTGCTCGCTGGATCCTCGACGACGGCGAGCCTCACCCTGCCGCGAACACCGACCTCGACGGCGACGGCATGTGCGCCTACCTGGGCTACGTGAGCTCCAGCGTGGAGACTGGCCCCCCCTCCGGCACCGCCACGTGGGAGGTCGCCTGCGCCGGGGAGCCCGCGCAGGCCCTGCAGATCACCATCAGCGCCACGGACCCGGCCACGCCCGCGCCCTCGGGCGCCCCGACTCCGAGCCCGACCCCTGCGCCGGGCCCGGCGCCCACGCCCGCGCCCTCGGGCGCCCCGACGCCGGGCCCGACCCCTGCGCCGAGCCCGGCGCGGCTCCCGACGCCGACCCCGACCCCGCCGCCGAGCCCCGCGCCGAGCCCGGCTCCGGGCCCGGCCCCGGGCCCCGCCCCGAGCCCGGCCCCGAGCACGACCGCGGCCCCGCCCGCGGCCGCGCCGGGCGCCGGCGAGCCGGGGGGCGCCTCCACCACGGCGGCGGCGCCGCCGCCCGCAGAGGCCACGACCGCCGCCCAGCTCGACGCCCAGCTCGGCGCCACCACGGCCGAGGCGCTGGCGGACGAAGAAGAGGGCAACGATAGGGCATGAGAGCGGAGCCTTTCGGAGGCCTGCGCGCGGGCTTCTCCGCCTCGGGTCCGCGCGCGGGGCCCTGCTCCTCCTCCCCCTCCTCCTCCTCCTCCTCCTCCTCCTCCTCCTCCTCATTTTCTTTCTCCTCCTCCTCCTCCTCCTTCTCTCTCCTCCTCCTCCTCCTCCTCCTCCTCCTGCTCCTCCTCCTCCTCCTCCTCCTCCTCCTCCTCCTCCTCCTCGTCCCCGGTGCGAGGAGCGCTCCCGCGCGGCGCCGGAGGCGCGCCGCCCGGGGGGGCGTTGGAGGGGGGTCTCCAGCGCCAGCCCAAGAAGTCCGCGCGCTCGGCATCGCTCGGACGTGTGCGTGTTTTCCTCGGTGGGGGCCATCGAGGAGCATCCTTGATCATTTGGCGAAAGAGCCACGCACGAAACCGAAACAAAAACACAGGGGATGGACGTCCGAGCGATGGCGAGCGCGGGGCTGCGAAAGTCTGTGCTCGTGTGTGTGCCGTCTTTGCTTCTCTTCTGCGGCAGAAGCGCAGGGGTTGGGCGGAGGCGTCCACGGAAGAGATAGCGCGTGGCTGGAGATAGTGGCCGTCGTGGTGGGCGTCCTGGCGCTGGCGGCACTCGTCGTGTGGGGCCTGCGCGGCAGAGCCCTCAGCGCGGTACGGCTGTGTGGGCCCGAGGGGCCCTCTAGGGCGCTGACCACGCCGGACAATGTGTGCGCGGTCACCTGCGACGTGGAGCGGTGCCCAGAATCGGAGGGCGCCAACTACCTGCAGAACGGTGTTGATTATGTTTCTTTTGGTTTTTCTTTATGCGGTCAGGAACTCTGGCTTAGCGTGTCGCTCCGCCGGTTCTGGCCCACTACGCTTGGCGCGACACGCTATTCACGTCCCCATGCCAAAGCGTCAAGGTCCCGAGCCTTTTCCATCCCCCCCGCCCCGCGGAGCGGAGTGACACGCTATCCGCTTGCAAGGCATGGCGTGTCGGCCGCTGATGCGACACGCTATACACAAGTTCGCGACTGTCGTAACAAGGTATCGGGGACTGGGGTGCTTTCCACCAGCTGCGGTTCGTCGAGAGTCGTCTGGGGGTGGAGGGGCCAGATCGTCCCGAGCGACTGCGTGAGGCCCGAGTTATTGCCCGAAAGCCGGGGCTCCAGGGTTTCCTTTAGAGCCCGCTCGGCGTCTGAGCTCGGTGTCTGAGCTTGGGTTGCACGGCGGATTATTCTTAGCATCCTGGGGGAGGGTGGGTGCCCTCGAGTGATTTTTAGGGTCTGGGGTTGGTTGGCTGGCGGAGGGTCTCCTGTGCCGGAAGGCCGTGCTTCTGTCCTGGGTCCGGCCGTGCACCTCTCGGCTCTCGGCCGGGGCGACCTCTGGGGGGCCCGGGATCGGCGCAGGTCGAGGCTCGTCGTGCCGATTTCGGGCCGTGCTTCGGAGGCACGCCCGAGGGTCTGCTCGAACGAGATGGGCACGGAAAGAATGGGTACGATGCCCAACAGCAGTTCCTGTTCATTTTGAACAGGGCTCGCTGTCCGCGCCGCCGCGGCCTGTTTCCATTCGAGACAGAAGGCCGTCTGCCCAACAGCGGCCGCGGCTGGTTTGGGACAACATTTGTTGTTGGGCATCGTGCCCATTCTTTCCGTACCCATCCCGGGGGTCCAAAAAGGGGGGAAGAGCTGATGGGGGCGGGCCTTCTCGGGAGGCTCGTGACCATCGCGAGCAAAGACCCCTAACCCGAATATGACGATGGAGACGTGGCCTCACTGAGGTCCCAGTCATCGCACGAGGGATGAGAAGTGTGGGCGGTTTGGCCCGATACATCTGCAGAAAGGACCCCCTATGCCTGATATGTTTGGCCCTCCTCACTTAGGTGCCCTCCCAAAGGTTTAGGGGTACTTGCATTGCTTATCACATGAGGCCTCCGGGCCTTCTGAGGAGGTTTTTGTTTTTGTGGCAAGCTGGCTTCGGCCTCGCATGCAAGATCTACTACGGCATCCCCGCGCCGGTTTTCGTGGTCTGCGCGGGCTCCTCCCTCGCCCCCCCTCGCGCTCGTTTTCTTGTCGCCTTTGTGCCTCGATTCGCTCCCGGTGCACCCCACCGCCTGCTGGCCGGCGTCTGTCTTGGACCTCTTGGCGCCCGCGGAGTCAAGAACAGATGTGTGCACCACGTCGTTGGGTCCGCCAAGGAGCCCAGGGAGTTGGCGAGGAAACTCGGTGCATAGCCTCCATGCCTCCCAAATTGGGTCCGAGTGGATGGGGTCGCAGGGTCGCGCCACGTCGCCGATGCATCAGCGCTGCAGCTCGGTGTGCACGAGTGGACTCTGAATTCATGATTACATCGGGCTCAGCATAGAACCGCATCGCTGGCGTCGACGCCGACGTCGGCGATGCACCGCCGATGCATCGCTGATGCATCGGCGATGCAGCGCGCTCCGACCCCATCGGCCCCCATTTAGGAGTCAGCGAAGGAACCAAGGAACTTTGCGAAGAAACTCGGCGTATAGATTCTCCAGCATCCCGTAGCTGGTGACACTGGGGCGTCTATACAACGAGCTTTTTGCCGACCAAGCGACGTGGTGTAGTCACCGAGCCCTGCCCAGTCGACCAAAGAGCGTGTTATCACCGATCCTGGGCCCAGGGCTGGTCCAGCCGAGGCCAGTGTCGGTGTCGTAGTTCGCGCCCTCCCAACGGAAGATCTGGACGGTGTCATCATCCTGGAGGCCTGGGAGGCTCCCGTGGAGCACTGCCCTGGCAGCACAGCGAGGTTCAGGCAGGTCGTCCGGGTGTGACGTCCAGCTTTGGCGAAGCGGAGCGTGCTCCAGGGCCCCCGCACCCGATGAACAGCCGTGGATCGAAGCGTGTTTCATCATTCGGCTCCGCCAGGTGGAATGTTCAAGGTCCTAGTTTGCATTGTCTGGTTCAGGAGGGCCCTGACGTGGCTGTATCATCGGAAGTTTGGTGACGTCCGCCAGCTGCACAAGCCGAGGCGTGCCCGGGACTGCAGTGGAGCAGTTCAGAAGCGGTGAAGGCCGTGCCGATATTGCAGCCAAGACCGGGCTCGGAGAGGGCCTGCTGTGCCTTTGGGTAATTCCTCGGTCGTTCCTCTAGCGCTCCGCATGCGCCCAGGGCATGCTTGGAGCCCAAGGGAGGCTTCGCTCCTTCATGGTAGTTGGCAGCTCGGCTGCAGGCACTCTTACGGACCAGGCGGCCATGTTGCCACCAGTTCGAGTTGGGTTGCTTTCGGAAGCACGGGGCGACCGATCCTCCTAAGTAGGCTCGGGCTCGGGCTCGTGCGCGCAAAGACGTGATGCACGAGGCTGTGCGCGGCGCAGTGCGCGACGCTGGCACAAGGATGGCGTCGTTTCTTTCCGACAGCAGGATTAAGTCGGGCCTGTCCCTCTTTTATAGGTGGATATTCAAAAATAGTCAAACAAATAGTTTTGGGACGATATGTTTACCATTTTTGAATGTTGGTGAATCTTTGTTTTACTCGTTCAAAATCCGCCTAGGGGGACAGGCCCGACGTAACAGCAGGACCATTTCTCAATGCTGCTGTTGCCAGTTGCCGTACCTGGATCCCGCATGGGCCAGCAGAGGTCAGTTCATATTGCCACATGTGGAAGAATTGGCCTTGTCTCTGCGATGGGCTAATGACGAGCAGCGTGCCGTTCTCAATAAGCCACATCCTCCTTCCTCCTCCTTTCTCCTCCTCATTGCCGTTCCTCCTCTCCCTCCGCCCTTGTCCTTCTCTGCTTTTTCGATGTGTCTGCTCTTCAGGCCACCGTGAACTCCAAAACATCTTCGCTTGCGCGACCCACATAAGGGGCCTTCTTCAACGCAATTCAGCATTTCTGGGCAAAGCTAATCCATGCGACGCAAAGCATTGGTTGGTATTAGTTTGCGTTGCTTGGCATTGCTTGTAATTGATGCTTGGCATTGGTTGACATTGTGTGGCGTTCCCTGGCATTGCTACGGTTCATTGCTTGACATTGTTTGGCATGACTTGGCATTCATTTGCGTTGCCTGGCATTGATTGGCATTGGTTTGCAGTGCGTGCCTGGTTTGCCATTGCTTTGCATTGCGTTGCATTAATTAGCTTGGCACTGCGTGGCATTAGCTTTGCGTTGCTTGGCATTGGTTGGCGTTGCTTGACTTCGTTGCTCGACATTGCTTTTCGTTGCTTGGCACTGCTTCGAATTAGTGCTTGGTATTGCTTGGCATTTCTTGCATTGCTAGGTATTTCTTGACATTGGTCAACGTGTCTTCCAATTGCTTGGCATTGCTTGGGGTCGTTGCTAGGTACTGATTGGCATTGCTTGGTATTGCTTGACATGATTTGGCATTGCTTGATATTGCTCGTTAGTGCTTGGCATTGCTTTGCGTTGCTTGGCATTGCGTTCACTGCTTGGCATTTCTTGGCATTGCTTGGCATTGGCTTGGCGATGTTTGGTATTGGTTGGTGGTGCTTGAATTCGTCGCTTGGCATCGTTTTGCATTGCTTGGACTCGCTGTCACTACTTTGCATTTCCTGGCATTGCGTTGCATTGATTTGCAGCGCTTGGCATCCATTAGTATGTATTGGCAATGCATTGGCATTACTTGGCATTGCTGTGCGTCGCTTGGCATTGCTGTGCACTGAATGGCGCTGCTTGGCATTGCTCTGCGCTGCTTGGCATAACTTTGCAGCCAACCCCGAAGGACCTGGGTGCGCCAACGCCGAGGAACCCTTAGCAACGCCGAGGGCCGCTTGTGACGAAGGGCCCCGCTTCCAGCGGGTTCTGGTACGAACAAGTAAGAATTTAGGCAACGCCTAATTTGGGGTAGAAGCTGCGTAAATGCGAGGCTGTGACCAGTACGTGGGGAGTGTGTCAGGAAGAGCCTTGCCTTCGGTGCATCGAGCCTTCTGCGAAAGCTGGCGGCAGGCCGGCAGAAGGCGGTGGAAGTAAGTCGGCAGCGGTCCCGCCCGCGGAAGGTCGGTTGAACGCGGCGGAAGTATGAGCGAGACCTCAACATGTTTGGATCTAGGTTCTCCAGAGTCGGCCACATAGGCACCGCCTTGAGAACCAATCTTTTCGGACCCCAGGGGGAGTTGGATGTAAACGTGTTCGGGCCCCCTGTGGCCCGAATGCGTCTATGCCCGCCGCTCCCCCGGGTCCTGGGAGATCGGTTCCCCGGGCGGCTTGTATTTATGCATCTAGACAAAAAGTGTCGAACGTCCGCGAGGATTCTTCCATTTTGGGCAATCTCCATCGCGGCGCCTCCTGCGCCGCCCCTGGGTGCGCTTCGTGCGCCATGTGAGTGTTGCCCAGCGCCGGTCCTTTTAGAAAGCCGCGCGAACCTGGAACAGTTTGTGCTCATTCCTTGGGCACGCACAAAGACACGTTGCTCCTCCTCCTCCTCCTTCTCCCCCTCTTCCTCCTTATCCTCCTCCTCCTCCTCCTCCTCATGATCCTCCTCTGTCCCTCCATCCAAATGCCAGCCGGTCGAGCTCAGCGCCCATTCTCTCGGGAAGCTTGAGACGGGGGTCAAAGCAGACAGGGGTCAGCCAGAGCGACGGATTTTGAATGATGCTGCAAAGCCCGGGCTGCGTTGACCCGGGCTAGCGCGCAGGATTTTGAAGAGCCCGATTGACCTGGGTTTGGATTGACCTTGGTCAGTGGATGTTTGGTCACCCTCCTCCCCCGTGCTCGTCGTCCTTCTCCCTGCTCCCCTTTCCCTCGTCCCCTCCTCTTCGACAGCCCTCGAGGCCTCGAGAGCTGTTTCGTCGTCGCGTGTCATTTTTCGGCCACGCGCAGAGGGGGGTAGGGGTAGGGGGGAGGCTTCTTAGAAGGAGGGTTGCGTCTTCGAAGGCGCGGGCCTTCTCTGTGGATGCTTTCCTTCTCAGAAGCAGCCTCCTTCTAAGAAGCCTTCCCCCCTCCCCTCTTATCCCCTTGTGCGCGCTGCCGAATTCTGACGGCCCATGAGCCCGAGCATTGCGAATTGGGGGTGAATATGTGAACTGTCATATGCAGCCCCTCCTCATTCCAGCATGCAGAAGGAGGGCGCCAGGGGCGCGGCCTTCTCGGAAGGCAGGGGACTTCTAAGAACCCCCGTTGCCTTCCAGGATGCCCTCTTCGATGCCTCCGATCATTCTATTTAGCCCTATGCCTGCGGAGAAGGACCTCCCTCCCTTTCTCCCTCCCCCCCCCTCTCCTTTCAGCTTCTCTCTCTCTCTCTCTCTTTCTCTCTCTCTCTCTCTCTTTCTCTCTCTCTCTCTCTCTCGCTCTGTCCCCTGGCCCCGCCACTTTGTGCGCCCGACCTCTGATCCCGACGCAGTGGTGTTCCTTTTCCGCGCCCCCGAGATAGTGCGGAAGTCCATCGCCCGCATCCTGACAGTCTACAACCAGAAGCAGAAGGCGGAGGCGCGGAAGGAGTGCAAGGCGGGGAACCAGTGGGGATGCTGGGCGTTCCCAAGAGGGCCTGGCCGGCGAGGAGCCAGGAAGCTGACTCCTTTTCCTCGGCGGAAGGGTCGCGGAGGGCTGGCTCGATAAAACGGGGCGGGGTCCGCTGGTGGGCGCGGAAGATGCAAACGGCCGACGGGTGCAAACGATCCCCCCCCGAGATATTCGTGGGTATTTTTTTTGAGGGAGGGGAGAGTCAGGGATTTTGGTGGCGGCCTGAGAAGGTGGGCCAGCACCTGTTGTGGCCAGCTTCTCTACCTGCCATCGTTCGAGCCTCTCGCGTCATCCGCGGCCCAGCCGTCGGCAGCGCGTTCGAGCCCGCAGGCGCACGCGCTCGTTCCGCGTTCACTGCAAGCTCTGCGTGCTCTCTCTCTCTCTCTCTCTCCCTCTTTCTTTCTCTTTCTCGTTTTATGTTTTTATTGTTTTGTTTGTTGCGCTCTCTCTCTCTTTTTCCCTGGTTCTCTCTTTCTCTCTTTGTCCCTCTCTTTCTATGTATAGATATATGTATATATGTGTATATATCAATGTTTATATATTAATGTAAATATGTGTGTAAATATATACATATATCGCTGACTCTCTCTCTCTGGCTCCCTCCTCGGCATACATTTGGACAACATCATCGCATCCGCGGAAGCCGATACCCAAAGGCGTAGCCAACGCGACAAGGCCGCCCGGTCTGCAGCACGGCGCAGCCGCGTGCGAGCCGAGGGCGGAGGCACGGTCAACAGCCAGTGGGTCAATACCGGAGTTTATAGCGGAGTTTCTCCAGCGGAGTCCCCGGACGCGTTTATAGCGGTGTTTCTCCAGGAACCTTCCGACCCAGCGCCCGCCCAGCGATTTGTCCTCACCGACGAAGTTCTCATCCATTTCATCGGCACCTGTCTCGCTGCCAGACCAGGTGGCATGGATGCTTGGACCACAAACCAAGATGGGGTCTTACGGCTGTTCGCCAGAGGTCTGCGAGCTATGCAGCGCACAGCGAGGGTGCCGGAACCAGTCTTCCATGCATCGATTCCATGTCTCCGGCAAGGGAAAGGAGAGCTTCCGACGGACCAACGACTGCTCTCAGTCATGTCTATATGGATGTACGCATGAGAAGCCCTAACGCAGCCTTGCCCCATGGTGTGCGCGCTGGACCCACCCTACAAGCTCCGGGGTGGTCCCACACGCCATTATCAGCGATGTCAGCGCTACGCTTGCCATGCAGGTGGAACACGCCCGACATTTGGAAGTACCGCTCGCGGGTGAGGCGCTGGACAGGCAACAAATGCTTAGGGGCGAATATGGGTATCGCCGTGGGTCCGATGCGCCTTCATTGCCCCGGGGCCATGCTTCGAAACTGGAAGCTATCGCGCTGCGGGGGGCATTCCTCGGGGCGCGCGGGCAGGAGCGACGAGGCACCAGCTTCAGAGCCGAAGCTGAAGAGGCATCTTCCAAGGCGGCGGCCCGATAGGCCGATTCTGGCAAACCATCGGCCAGCCGGATTGGAGCTTGCCAGCTTTTTTTGGTTGCGCCTGACCATTGGGAAGTTCGCGCGCGTCTGATTATCGCAGAGGTGCGTTCCTTTCTCCGACGAGCCCCCCCGCCGCAAGACACGACCTCGGGGCGGCGGCGGCGGTCGCGCGAGGCCTCGACTACTTCGCCAGCGCGTGCCTGCAAATCGCCAGAGGTAAAGCCAGATGCGCTGCGTGGCATCTCGGCCTCCCGCGCAATGACATCTGCGGCGATGGCCACAATCGACAGAGGTCAGCACGCGCGGGGTCCACCGAGATTGCGCCGATGGCGCAACCGAGAAGAGGAGATTCCGGAGAACACCGTCAGGAGACGCCCCTGCTGAATTCACCGCTCACCACAATGATCCCCGATGAGCAGTGGAGTGACTTCGCGCCGCGCGCACGGCGCTGCCCGCTTTTGGAAAAGGACGCGCAGCCCATCCTTCAACCGCCGCCAAAGGACAAAGAAGAATCCCACTTCGAATATCGCACTCAGCCCAGCACGGGGCTAGGTGAGCCTGGAAGGTTATGCTTACTGGTTAAATGAGCATTGCGTAATGAATGGCATTAAAGAAAAACGAAAAAAACAAAAACAAAAACTTAGATCCGAAATTGGCACTACGCAAGTACACGACGCAAATGCACTACGCAGGTGCACTACGTACATGCACTACGTAGATCATGTTACACCAGATAAAAGGTCAAACGTGGAATAGGCACTGCGTGAATACACTACGTAAATAGACTACGGAAGCACTACGTGAACACTACGCAAACGCATTAGGTGAAACACTCGCAATACACTGCGTAGACTGTTTCACACTCAGGCGCACGCACGACCCTGCCCTCGGCACAGTAGCGTCACCACGGGCATCTCCAGCATTACCACTTCCCATCGCCCGATCGAGGTGCTGGGAAGTGCCCCCAGGCCTCGCAGTTGTGAATAATTTCCTAAGTTCGCGGGTCAATCACGCAAAGCTGACTTCACGCGAAAACAGCACGTCCATTTGTGACGCGAAAGACACGACGCGAAGTACTATGCAGATGCATTGCGCGAGTTTTCCAGCAAGCGTTGCACGCCAAACGGCGACGCTGATACCATGCGCGAGAACACCCTGCAAATGCACCACGCAAGAGCACTACGCCAACGCACTAAGCCAACACACTGCGCCAACGCACTACGCAAACGCACTGCGTAAGACATGCTACGTAGAATTCGTTACGCCAGTACACTATGCGAATACGCTGCGCTCATGCACAACGTCAACACACCCTACGCGAATGCACTACGCAAAAAACACTACGTAAATACACCACGCGCATACAATAATGCACTACGCAAACACACTACGTGGCGCGTCCCCTGCCGCGTCCGAGTGCGGCGCGGCACAGCGCAGGGGAGCACGACGCAGCCCCCTGCACCGTAGCGCCACCGCGGACATCTCCAGCATTGCCAGTGCCCATCGCCCGATCGAGGTGCTTGGCAGCGTCCCCAGGCCTCGCAGTTCCGAGTCCCCTCCCGAGTTTGCGGGCCGACTGCGGGAACGCATGGCGCGAAGACGCCGCGCGTCAACATTGCGCGGGAAGCTAACTCCACGCGGCGCAAGGCACTCCGCGAAATACATTGCGCGAGCATTCCACGCATGCATTGCACGTCAAACGTCGGCGGGAACACCATGCACGAAAGCACTGCGCAAATACACCACGCAGGGCACTACGCCAGCGCACTACGTCAACACACCTCGCGAACACACTACGCAAGAACTACGTACGATACACTGCGTACAACACAATACGCATATACACTACGCAAATACACTACACAAATACACTGCGCGAGTGCACTACGCGAATGCACTGCGCAAATATTCCACGTAGATACACGACTCAAAGACACTGCGTAAATGCGTTACGCACATACATTTCGCAAGTGCGCGACGCAAGTGCACTGCGTGGCGCGTTCTGTTTCATGTCCCAGTGCGGCGCAACACAGCGCAGTGGAGCACGACGCAGACCCCGGAACAGCAGCGTCACCGCAGACATCTCCAGCATTGCCACTGCCCATCTCCCGATCGAGGTCTTTGGCAGCGCCCCCAGGCCTCGCAGTTCTGAATCCCTTCCAGAGTTTGCGGGTCGACCGCGGAAACTTATGACGCGAAGACACTACGCGACAACATTATGTGCAAAGCTAACTCCACGCGGCGCAATATACTCCGCGACATACAGCCATTATTCCACGCAAGCACTGCACGCCCAACGGCGACGCCAGTACCGTGCGCGGAGACACTACGCACATACACCACGCAGGAGCACTACGCCAACACGCTACGCCAACACACTGTGCAACACACACTTTGCAAACGCACGACGCAGAACACGCTGCGCATACTACGCTACGCAGACACACGACGCGAATGCACTACGTAGATACACTACGCAAATACACTACGTAGATACGCTACGCGACTACGCTACGCAAGTGCACTACGTCAATACACCCCGCGCGAATGCACTACGCATATGCGTTGCGTAAACACGTAGTGCAGGGGGGCCACGGCGCGGCCCCCCTGCACAGCAGCGCCACCGCGGACACCTCCAGCATTGCCAGTGCCCATCGCCCGACCGAGGCGATTGGCAGCGTCCCCAGACAGCGCAGTTCTGAATCCCCTCCCGAGCTTGCGGGTCGGCCACGGAAGCGCACGACGCGAAACTTTGTTGCGCGACACTGCGCGTGAAGCTAACTCCGCGCGGCGCAAGGCACTCCGCGAAATACGTTGCGCGAGTTTGCGCGAGCATTCTACGCAAGCATTGCACGCCGTGCGGCGACGCACATTCCATAGACGAAAACACTACGCAAATACACCACGCAGGAACACTACGCCAAAGCACCGCTTCAACACACCGCGCAAACACACCGCGCAAACGTCCTACTTAAAAGACATTACAGAAAATGCACTACGCAAATACACTACGTAAATGCACCACGCAGATGCACTAGGTAGATACACTACGTAAATACGCTACGATCATACATCTCTCTACTACACTACGCAAATACACGAAGCAAATACACTGCATGGCGCGTACCCTGTCATGTCCCAGCGCGGTGCGGCACAGCGCAGGGGGGCAAGACGCAGCCCCCAGGCAGCGCATTTCTGAGTCCCTCCCCGAGTTTGCGGGTCGACCGCGGAAACGCATGACGCGAAAACCTTTCGCGACCATATTACGTGGAAAGCTAACTTCACGCTGCACTCCGCGAAATACACTACGCAAATGTGCCATGCAAGCACAGTACGCCAAACGGCGACGCGAATATCACACGAACACATTGCGCAAATACGCCACGCAGGAGCACTACGCCAACACACTACATCAGCACAAGACACTGGTCCAACACACTACGCGAAAGCACGACGCACACCCTTTACGCAAACTGCGATACGCAAACAAACGCTGCGCACATCCGATGCGCATATGCACTTCAGAAATGCACCACTTGGATGCACTGCGTAAACACGCTACGGAAATACACGCTGCGCAAACACACTGCGTACATCCGCCGCACCAGGCCCGCTCGTTCCTTGCCGGGGCAGGTTCTGGACTTTATTGCGGGCCAGACTAATGGGTGAATCGCTCCGCCCGGGTGCATCACCTGGCGCTGCGGCGGAACCTTTGCGCCGATTCCGCTCGCCGCCACGGCCGAGAGACCCGTCCAGGGTCTCCGTGGACACAGATGTGATGACGCTTCGGGTCATACGGACGGTTGAATGCATAGGGAAACTACGAGTTTGGCATCAATGTGTGGGTGGTTGTTGTTGGTAGGTGAGGTTATATGTGTGTGGGGGGGGGTTGCCGCTCCTATGTGGACACGGACATGGCGGGGCTCCTCTTGGGCCCTGGGGTCGTCATTTCCGTCTAAGATTTGTTGTGGTGCCGTGCCAGCGAGGTCGTCTTTGCAGGACCAGGCTGCAGGTGGAGACGGCTCACTTGGCTTCCGGGTCCCAACTCGGGTCTCCCGTGGGCGTTCGGGGCACTCCGAGCACCCTCGGGACGCCCTCGGCGAGGCGCAGCGGCTGAAGCGCACCCTGGGACAGTCAAACCTGGAGGAACCAAAGATGTCGTCCAAAAGCGAGCGGCCGAATCGCTGAGGCTGCAGGCTTGGCTGCCAAGCTGGGTTGGCGGACAGTCTGCCTCCCCAGGGCGGGGAGGGCCCGACGGGTCGGGAAGCCCGCGCCCCAAGGGGGGGGGGCGCCAGGGGAAGAAGTACATCCCGCTGGACCTCCGCCCGAAGAAGACCCGCGCCCTCCGTCGGGCGCTGAAGGTGGAGCAGAAGACGGCCAAGACGGCGAAGGCTGAGGGGGTGCTGCGGGAAAGCTGTACCCTGCCGCCCGCGCGTCATGATTCAGACCACGGCACGCTGCACCTGGCAGGTTTCAACCGTGGGAGGCCCTCACAGGGCCCCAGAATTATCAACAAGAACGACTCGGGATGAAGAGTTGGTCCCCAGGAAAAGGGTCCAGACCCAGAGGTCCGATGTCTTGACTTTTCCAACACATGGCCCCCAGAAGTCTCGACCAAGTTCCTTTGGCAAGTTGCCATCCTGAGTAGTTTTGTATTGGTCTGAGGCTCAGCGGGGGCCGAAGCCGATCGTTTTTACAAGTACGGCGACGTACCTCTGGCTTGATGGTTTTAACACGTTGGTTCTTTGGGAACCTCTATTCACTACCCACCAAACCACCCCAACCCAACCCGAAGGCCCCAATTTGCCATTCATTTCTAGTGGGGGGGGGGCCCTGGGAAAATTGAAAAAACATATGGAACCCGTTCCCCCCTCCCCAACCCGAAATTCGGGTCTTCGGATTGGGTTGGGGTGGTCTGGTTGGTAGTCATCTATGGGGTCCAGGCTGCGAGAAAAGCACGACGTCGGGTGTCAGGGGAGTCCAGTTCGGCACGGTCGCTGCCCGGGCCCTGCGCAGACGTGGATAGGTGCATGGTCTGACAGATAACAGGCTGCGGCAAGAACGGTGCAGCTCCAGACAGGATCGCGTTGTGAAACAATCGGGACGGGCGGCTTTTGGCAGTTTTCGGCCCCAGGGATCGTCAAAAACCGGCAAAGGGCTCGAGAGTTCATGCCAAGAGCGCTGGGGTACTGGGTCAGGAGACAATATCCTGTTTTCGCTTGGTGGCGTCGATGCTTCAGGGGCGAAGCTTACGATGACGTCCAGCACTCACACGGCAGGGCTACTGAGAGTCACGCCTCGGGCGGACATAGCTTGCACGGTAAGAGCGTGCTTCTTTATTGCTTGGAGCATCATGGGCATTATCGCCCCCGGACGCCCCCATTTTAACGTAACGCCCCTCCCCCCCCAGTGCGCTCCAGGGACTGCCGCCGTGCGCACGGCGGGGGGGAGGCGTCACATTATACCCCCCCTGGCCTCCCCCCTCCCTCTATAATGCCCGTTACCGCCGACAATAGAGACATGCGCTCTAACGAGCGCGTGCACGTCGTGAAGCAAGGCAGGACGACGAGAGGGTTGGCAGGGACGCGTGTTCGCCTGGGGGCCAAGGGTGCCCTCCTGAGCGGTCTCTGGCCAGCCCGCGCTGCCCCCGAGGCGCCTGCGGGCGACTGCCCAGCGGCCTCGCGCGCCCCGCTGCGAAGCCAGCGGGCCCGGAGTCGAGAGCGGAAAAACCACCCGGACCGGACAACTGGCGTTTTCTAAACGGCCCTGCGGCGTTTGCTAACCGGCCCTGCCCCGGCGCGCTTGCTACACGGCTTCGCGTGCCGGGGTGGTTATCATGGGGGTGGAGTGTGAAGGCCTGGCGGCCGGTGCCGCCGACCCTGAAAGACAGCGACGACGACCAGGAGGGGGAGGAGGAGGAGGAGGAGAAGAGGAGGAGAAGGAGGAGGAGGAGGAGGAGGAGAGGAGGAGGAGGAGGAGGAGGAGGAGGAGGAGGAGGAGGAGGAGGAGGAGGGAGGAGAGGAGGAGGAGGAGGAGGAGGAGGAGGAGGAGGAGAAGGAGGAGGAGGAGGAGGAGGAGGGGGAGGAGGAGGAGGGAGGAGGGGAGGAGGAGGAGGAGGAGGAGGAGGAGGAGGAGGAGGAGGAGGAGGAGGAGGAGGAGGAGGAGGAGGAGGCGGAGATGAGGAGGAAGACGAGAAAGGAGGAGGAAAAGGACTCCCCCCTGGGACCCCCCCCCCCTGGGGAGGAGGACCGGAGGAGGACTGGCGTGGGAGAGGGGAGGGGAGGGGGAGGAGGACCCCCAGGGACGGATGCGTATCTGACTCCCCTCCCCCCCTGGGACTCCTCCCCACCTGGGGAGGAGGACCCGAGGAGGACCGGCGCGCCGGAGAAGGACCGGCGTGGGAGAGGAGGACCCCCAGAGGCGATGCGAATTTGACCCCCCCCCCCCCCCCCCCCCCCCGCCCCCCTCCCCTCCCCCCGGGACCCCCTTCCTCCCCGGGACCCCCCTCCCCCGCCAGGGAAGGGACAAAGGGAAGGGGCTTCCCTTTGACGTAATGAGCAGCCGGTCTTGCCGCGACCGTCGCGGGGTTCCTCGAGGTCGGGGGTGGCGGTCGCCTCCCGAGATCCGACGCTGTGGAAAAGCTGCGGCATCGCGAGGAGTCACGAGACCTAGACCCCACCCCATCTTTCTTCGGGAGCCTTGGGACGGGGGTCGATGCAAACGGGGGCCAGCCAGGGCCCCCGATCTTGCAGGATCCTGCAGAGCCACTGGCCGGGATCAGCGCGCCGCAGGATCCTGCAGGATCTTGCAAAGACCGACTGACCCGGGCTGGCATTGGCCCGGGTCAGTTGGGCGCTGCGACATTGGGGGGGTCATAAATGGGGGAGTGGCGAGGGTGGTCCGAAAAGGTGCCCAAACGGTACCTAACCGAGCCCCCTGGGGCTCCGGAGGGGCACGAACGGGGCGCGAAAGGGCACCGTTTCTGACCACCCTATCTATGACCCCCCCAGTGAGCCACGCCCAAGTCAGCAGATCCCCGATGTCTGCGACATTGCCCGAGGCGGATCAACCTGTGATGGCTCTGGGGCCCGGCACCGGGCGAACATGCCCAGTGGGACAAGAACTCTCAGGAGGGGAAGCAGCACACAGGCTCAAGTCATCGTCGATTCCTCCGAAAATGCAGGGAAATATGGGAAGTGGGTGGGGGATGACGAAAACAAAGGAAATACGGGATAATATGGGGAATCCTGTCATTTGTGTGTATTGATGTGTGTCTTTGTGGGCCCCTTCGACCTGCAGCGCCCGGATCTCAGGGGCGCGCTGCCGGCCGGGCTCCGAGCGCGCGGCGGTGCCACGGCGGCGCCCCGCGCGGCAGGTGCCTCTCGGCATCGCTGGGGCGTGGCGTGCGTGCACTGTGGTTCGGCGAGGCCCGCGCCAGGGAAAACCTGGAGCCCTCCTCCTCCCCCTCCTCCTCCTCCTCCTCCTCCTCCTCCTTCCTCCTCCTCCTCCTCCTCCTCCTCCTCCTCCTCCTCCTCCTCCTCCTCCTCCTCCTCCTCCTCCCCCTCCCCTCCCCCTCCTCCTCCTCCCCCTCCTCCTCCTCCTCCTCCTCCTCCTCCTCCTCCTCCTCCTCCTCCTCCTCCTCCTCCTCCTCCTCACAAAGGAGCATGCTGGAGCTTCTCGCGAGAGTCAGGGGCGAAAGAGGGACGTACGCGCACATGACTCCACGTCGGTGTGGAGAGCACGCATGGCGCGAGGGTTCGAATCGCGCGGCTGGTCTCGCAGACTGGGGGGCCGTGTTCATGTACGTCGTTGCGCGCGTGCGTCCTTCGTGGGCGCCCTCGAGAAAAAAACACGCCCGACGCCGACAAGTGCACGGGGAATGGACGTATCCGAGCGACGGCAGGGTGCCGGCGCCAGCTGCGCGAGCACGTGCGCGCCGTGCGCGCCCGTGCGCGGGCCGCCGCTCGCGGGCGCGTGCGCCTTGAAGCCGGCCAGGGGGCAGAGGTTCAGAGGAGCAAGAGTGACATTGAGTTACCTTTGGTGCGGGTCCAGTGGGGTCCCCCGATCGCCGAAGGCGATGCGGCAGCAGCGTCTTGCGCGCTTGCGTGTGGGTCCACCCGCGGCCCCTCAAAAAAGCCGCGCACCAAAGGCCGCTCCTTGCCGAGGGGCACTCTTTGCGTGTAGCCGAGAGATACGTATTTGAACAGATGCCCCAGGTTCCCAGAGGTCCCGAATGCTCCACGCGGGTTGCAGAAGCGGGCCCGCGATTCCCCGATGCCCCACACGGGCTGCAGAGTCTGGAGCGTAGCTTGAGCCACTCGCATCATGGCATCGGCCCCCCTCCCACGGGTGCACCGGCAGTGGTTCCGGCCAGAGGTGCGCCTCGCCGCCTCGGCTGGGCAGAGCCTCCCCAGTTTCGACCCCGGGAGGGAGCCAGGGACGGACTGAATGTGGGCGGATCCGCCCTCGTCCCCCCTTCTTGACCGAATCTCCAGGGGCCCACGGCCGCTTTCAGCGTGCGCTTGCGTTCTGTCCGTCCATCACCCAAGCCCTACGCCTCCAGCTGGCGGCGGTGGGCGCAGGCAAGTAGGGTACCCGCCGCGCGCGGGGGGAGAGACCGAGCTGGGAGATGGCCAAGCTTAGCACCCGCGATGGCGAGGGTTGGAGGGCCTCGATGCGGCCTCGCCGTCTCGCTGCCGTCCCCTCTCCTCCCTCCTCGTCGTCGTCCTCTTCCCGCAGAGGAACATGGCATACACGCCAGTCGTTGAAAGTAGGTGTTTTTTTTGGATTCCCACATCCCAATCTACCTCGAGCGCCATCCTACTTCAAGAATCGGCGTATGCTCCGATTGTTGTTGTTCTGCTTAGGGCGGGCCCGAACCCAAGCTACCCTACCCGCCTTCCGACGTCATGCTCCTGCATACAGTCGAGCATCTGATCCAGAAACCTCTCCCCGCAAAGCTGGGCCGGCGTTTCTCAACCAACTTGCCGCAGAGCTGGCCCGGTTCCTTGGGCCCGTTCGCCCCTTCAGCACGAAGCAGCACTTCGCCCAGGTTTGTTCGAAAGAACCTCCGGGGAGCTGGCGCAGCTTTCTTAAGTGAGAGGTTTCTTGATCATGCAGTCGGGGCCCTGCAGAAGGAACCCTTTTCGTTGGGGAGGGGCTCCGCGTTCCTGAAGTGTTTCACGGCTTGCCTCAGGCTTCCCTGATGTTTTCGACACGAAAAATCGAAGGTTAACTCATGGAAAAAAGGGGCCTCGTTCCTTATTTAGGGTGCCTTAGGTCAAGACCCCGACTGATCGTTCGGCTGTGCTTCGTGCTTCGACCCGCCTCTTCCGACGGGCGGGCAGACAGAGAAATCGTCGGTGCCGCGCGCGGATGTCTGGGGTCGGCGCGGGCCCCCCCCCCCCCCCCCGACGGCTGCGCCTCCGCGCGCCGCCCCTGCCCCGCTCCGCGCGCCCAGGAAGGGGGGGGGCCAGGCACCGATTCAAGGGCTCCGCGCGGAGCTCCGAATATATATATATATATATATATATATACATATATATACATATGTAATTAAATAAATATAAATGCTTGAACAGTTGCTTCTTCCTCTATCATCTCAGGAGGAAGGACAAAAACACACACAGAGACACACACACACACAGACACACACACACACACACCAACGTCGATTCCCATGAACATGCAGTCAAGACGCGGACACGAGGAACAGCTTGGGCACGACAGGGGCGCGATGCTGCCTGCGTCCTTCCATCGCTGTTCCTCTGGCCCTCCTCGTGCACGCCGGCGCTTTTTTGGGGGGAGAAACGCACGCGACAGGGCAGCGGCAGGGCAGCGCGGGCTTTCGCCCGAGCGGCCATGGGCTGCTTGGTTTTTCCCCAGGTTCCCCTCACGCCGCAGAGGCGCCGCCCAGAAGTGGCACTTGCGCCCTAACTGTGTGTGTGTGTGCGTGTGTGACAGTTGGTTCCTCCTCCTCCTCCTCCTCCTCCTCCTCCTCCTCCTCCTCCTCCTCCTCCTCCTCCTCCTCCTCCTCCTCCTCCTCCTCCTCCTGGCGGCTTCCACGGGCTAATTGAATTGGATCGGCCCCTCCTCATCCCTCCCCCCCTCGCGCCAGGAGAAGACAAGGAGCAGCAATTTCCCCATGCGGCGCTTCGTGGTCACCATGTGATCCGCGGCGCTTGCGCCGCCAGGTGGTCCTGGGTCACCCGCCCCCGTCCAGGAGGGGGGAGAGGGAGGCGGAGGAGGGAAGAGCCCGGCGGAGGAGGAGGAGGAGGAGGAGGAGGAGGAGGAGCAGGAGGAGGAGGTGAAAGAGGTGGAGGAGGAGGGGAGATGAGGACGAGCAGAAGGGCACGGAGGGAAGAGCGAGACAGACGTGGAGGAGGAGGAGGAGGAGGAGGAGGAGGAGGAGGAGGAGGAGGAGGAGGAGGAGGAGGAGGAGGAGGGAGGAGGGGCAGGTGGAAGAGGAGGGAGGAGTAACAGGAGTAAGAAGAGGAGGACGAGAAGAGAGCAGTGGGCGTACGATGCCGAAGCCACTCCCACTCCTCCATCTCTTGCCCCACCTCTCTCCCCCCTCACAAATCCTGACTCTTCTCCTCCGTCCCCCTACCCCCCACCGCAGTGCGTCTCTCACACATTGCTCCACCCGCCCAGTCTCAGCCGCACTGAGACGGGCATACATTTCGCGAAGCCGCGCGCTGCATTTTATTTATACATCAGCACTATCACCACCACTATGATCATCATCATCCTCCTCCTCATCCTCATCCTCATCATCAGCAGCAGCATGATCGTCATCATCATCATCAGCAGCAGCATCATCAGCATCATCAGCATCAGCATCATCGTCGTCTTCATTATCAGCAGCAGCAGCAGCAGCAGCAGCAACAGTAGCAACATGAACATCACCATCACACCCAGCATCGTCATCATCACCATCATCATCAGCATCAGCATTATCATCACTATGATCCTCGTCATCATCACCGTCATCCTCGTCATCGGCATCGGCGTCGTCATCACCATCGTCGTAACAATCCTCGTCATTATCCGCATCCTCAGGGGGGCCTCGGGGCCTCCCTCTGAGGAGTCGCCTCGGGGCCCCCGTGAGGAGCCATCTCCGACAAGGCGGAGTCTTCTCAGGGCCTTGTTGGGGGTCCCCAGGGAGTCTCGGGGGCCTCTTGGGCGCCTCCTTCGCACAGGTGCTAAAACACTGCTCGTGATCCTTCGTTCCCCTCCCCTCCCTCCTCGGGCGTTGCTAAACGTGCACCTGGCCCAAGATGCCCCCAGGATTTCCATGGGGGCCCCAGAGAGACAAAGCTGAGAGCAAAGCACATGAGCACAAATGCCGTGGCCTTACAATGCGTCGCAATACCGCTTCACGGTTGCGCGCCAGGCTGCGGCAGAAATTACGCTATCTTGCCAGAGCAGCGGCAGGGCCTCCTCACCCCCCGCGGCCCGGACAGCGTGCGCAAAAACAGTTTCGATCCAAGTTTTCCGGGGGCGCCCCCGTTTTCGCTTGAAGTTATGTGCTATAAGCTGGCATGACAAAGGGCGTAGGACCAGGCACCTGACCGGGTCATCAGCTGGCTTCCGGGCAATATGCCCCATGAGCAGCAGCTGACGATTCAGCAAAGTATTGCTCAGTGGGGCAGCACCTGCTTGCTCCAACACGCTAGAATTTGTTACGCGGCTAATGTACGAGTGAGGTATGCGAAGTATTTGCCTCAAGCATCTCACGTGGAATGCGTCGAGCTTCTTCGTCTCCGCCTGGTTCAGGAAGGCCGTGTGCAGACAATACAACAGTTTACTGAGAATGCAAGCGTTGAACACCTCCAGCTTCCTTGACTGCGTCAGCGTGGAATGGCCCCACACTCGCTTCAACTTGTCGAATTCCGCCCGCGCGGCACCAAGTCGGCGGGAGAGTTCAGGGCCGATCTTCCCGTCGCTCGAAATCAAGCTGCCCAGATATTGAATGCTCTCTTTCTGCGGCACCCAGGAACCGTCTGGCCTCGGAATATGTGCATTACAGCCAACGGCTAGAACTTCCAGCTTGCGCCAATTGAACTGTAGCCCGTACTGCGATCCGGCTTTCTCGATGCTGCGCATGTATGCCGTCGCTGTATCGGACTCGCCAGACACAAGCAGTGTGTCGTCGGCGTAGACCAACTCATGCACCGCCTGGGAGGGGTCCAGCAGTGGCCCGGCCTCCTCCTTCGCGTCTCGCAACAACACGGTCATCACGATTGCGAATAGGAAGGGCGACAGCGGGCATCCCTGGCTGATGCCGAATTCCTGCGCCCTCGGCGCCGAGGTCGAGCCGGCATCCCGTACACAGAAACTTCGCTCCCGGTAGGTCGCCCGCACCACCTCCACGAATTTCGCGGGCACGCCAAATCTAACAAGAGCTAGTGCTAGAGACTCCGGGTAGACGCTGTCGAAGGCTTTCGCCCAGTCGAGAGCCAGCAGGACGACCTGCCCGCCCTTCTCGGCCCAAGTTCTTTCAAGAATTCGCCGTGCCAGAAAAATGGCGTCCGCTGTTCCGTGCTTGGACTTGAAGCCGAACTGAGTTCGCCGAATTCGGCTCTCGGCCCCGCCCGCTTTCAGCCGGCCAAGCAAAACTGCAGCGAAAACTCGGTAGCCCACGGCCGTCAAGGAGATGGGCCTGTAGTTTTCACACTGGGCCACGTCTCCCTTCTTGAATAGTGTTGCGACCAGCGCCTCGTGCCACTCTGCTGGAACTTTTGCGTCGCTCCAGCACTTATTGCACAGCTCGGCAGCCCATCTGCAGGCAGGCGTCCCAGCTCGGCAGATTGTCTTCCAAAACTCTGGCGGGATATCATCTTTGCCAGATGCCTTGCCTTGCTTCATACGTGCAGCAGCGCCAACGACTTCGTCTTCGGTGATTGGGCCACATGGCACGGCAAGCTCGTCGCCAAGGGGGTCCCCGTCCGGCGCTGCGCTTGTCGGCCGCACTGCCCATTGGACTTTGCAAAGGTACTCTGCCATTGTGTCGGCACGCTGGTCGGAGTCAACAAGACGACCTTCCATGTCGGCTAATCGGCCCTGCTGGGCTTGCGCTCCTTTTCTCAGGGTGCGTATCGGCGCCCAGTCTCCAGAGGCGAGTTGGCTCTCTAACCAATCCGAACGGTCCGCCCGGACGGAATCTCTGACAGCTCGGTGCAAGCGCCGCTCTTCCTGCGTGTTCCCGCGCGCTCTCGCTGAGTCTCTCTGGTCTATGAACTGGAGTGTCTTGTCAGAGATCCATGGTCGCCGCGGTCTCCTCGCTAGAGTCGGGAGAGCGTCTTGGGCAGCACAACGAAAGGCATCTGTCATGCTCGATGCGAGCTGCTGGACGCTCGCGCCCCCGTGCTCGCACCCACTTGAGCTCATGTGGTTACAGAAAGCATCGGAGAATGTGCCCGCCACCATTTCGTCCCGAAGCGCGCCAAGCTGTCGTCGAGGCTCGCGGGGGCCGCTGTCTTCGCGCGGGACGTTCACGTCCAGGGATGCAGCCACGAGAAAATGATGCGACGCGATCGCCCTGTGTTTGACGCTTTGCACACGCTTCAAGCACCCGGGCGACTCCATGGACACGATCGCCAAGTCCAGCTGTCCGCAGTTCTGGTGGATTGGGGGGTCCGCTGGCGAGTGTCCTATATCATAGTAAGTAATCTGGCGCTCCGGAGGCTCGTCGAAAACTGTGTTGCCGACAGTGAGTTTACGAGAGGTGCAAAGTTCGAGCAGGAGCGTTCTGTTTGATTCCGGGTTGTGCTGCGCTTGCGGGTTCCCGAAAATGAACGGCCCCAGCACGTCCTCTTCTCCGGGGAAGCGCCTGTGTATTCGGGCATTAAAATCACCAAATAGCAGCACCGGTCCGTGGGCGGAGTGGCTGCCGAGGAAGCCGGCCAAGTCCGAGAAGAAAGCCTGCCGGTCGACGAATGGCTTTCCACTGTGCGGGGCGTAGGCGCTGCAGATGACGATTTTGCCCCCTGCGGACCCGCAGTTTGAGGGACGCCATTCTCGAAGAGGCCTGTCTGAAACCAAGTACGCTGCGACGTGCCAGCGGAGAGATCAGGAATCCAACTCCTGCCGTTGCTTCCGGTTCGTCTTCTGCCGTGCCAGACAGGATAAGGAGGAAGCCCCCGTCTGCGATCTCATACTCGGAGTTGCCCTTGTGCGTTTCCTGAATGCAGAGAATGCTGATGTCCTCCTGCTGCATGTGCCGCTGGAGCTCTACAACCTTTGTCTCTGTAAGCCCTTCCACATTCCAAGTCCCAACTTTGAATTCCCGGCCAGAGACGGCAAGCCGGCCGCCTCGAAAAAGTTCTGTTTCATACGACCTTGTTGTGCAAGATGTAGAGATGGTACCAAAACTTGAGCTTGCAGTGTGTAGAACTACAGATGCTCTGGGTGAAACTGTGGGTGAAACTGTGCTCATGTGCTGTGTTTCCTAGTGCCCTTTGGCACCGCCCTTCTGCCCCTTCGAGCCCTTCATGCCCTGACCAGCTCGGGACAGCATGTCCGTGTTCTTCTGTATGAGGTCTTGCACGGCCTGGTTGTTGTGCAGCTCCTTCCAAGTCTTCCAGTCGCCATGCCACTCGTATCGCGCGGCGTTGTCGTCGACGTGGACCGTCACCGCCTTCTCGCCGCCAACTGTGAGCAGGTACGGAGCCTCATCGGAGATCTTCACGTGGTAGTTGATCCGCCATTCGTTTTTGAACAACCGCTTCAAGCCGAAACAGAAGTTCCGGGCAGCACGCTCTGGGGCAGGACGATCAGCCGTCGCCCACAAACCTTTCCCTCCACCTGGCTGGAGACCCGCCGCACGGAGGAGGTCCACAGCGGTGTCTCTCTCCGCGGTCCCGTGGAACTCCGCGAAGAGGATGCCCTTGAAGTCCCCCTTGGAGTACGTGTTGTTCGGGGCCGGACCGTTCAATACCATCAGCTTGTCCTTCAGCCATGTGGTCGCTTCCGCCATGCTGTTCAACGCGTCCAGGTTGCCTATCACGGCCGTGATGTGCCTCTTGTCCGTGGCTGTATGCTGAACGGCGCCTTGAGGTGGAGCAGCGCCGGCCGGCCGAGAGGACTCGAGATTCTTGAGCATGTTCTCCAGCTTCTCGATCCTGACCTCTGACACGTCCAGCCTGCTTTCCACAGACTGCAGGCGCT